CAAAAGAAAAACTAGAAAATCCACAAAGCTTAGTTAATGGCTCTGTGTAGAAAGCAGCAATATCAGAAATGACTTGACTTCTGTCTGTTCTGAGTGGACATGGTCAAGTTGGGAAGTTATGAGGTATAAACTCATAGGGGCTGGAGGGAGTTAATGAACATGGTTTTTTTATTTTAAATTTTTTTAAAAAAGTATATCCATAAATAACATTGACATTGTGGTTTTTTGTTGTTGTTCTAATTAGTTATACATGACAGTAGACTGCATCTTGACATATGGTACATAAATGGAGTATAATTTCTCATTCTTCTGGTTGTACATGATGTAGAATCCCTCTGGTCGTGTAGTCATATATGTGCATAGGGTAATGTAAGATTCATTTTACTACCCTTCCTACCCTCATACTCCTCCCCTCCCTTCACTCCCCTGTACCTAATCCAAAGTAACTATTTTTCCCTAGCTTCACTGCCCACCCCCTACTGTGTAGCATCCACTTATTAGAGAAAACATTCTTTGGGTTTAAGGGATTGGCTTCTTTCACTTAGCATAATATTCTTCAACTACATCCATTTATTGGCAAATGCCATAATTTCATTTTTTTAAAAGACTAAGTAATATTCCATTGTGTATATATACCACATTTTCTTTATCCATTCATCTGTTGAAGGACACCTAGCTTGGTTCCATGGTTGTAGCTATTGTGAGTTGAGTTGCTGTAAACATTGATGTGGCTGGGTCACTGTAGTGTGCTGATTTTAAGTCCTTTGGGTATAAACCAAAGAGTGGGATAGCTGGGTCAAATGGTGGTTCCCTTCCAAGTTTTCTAAGGAATCTCCATACTGCTTTCCAGAGTGGTTGCACTAATTTGTAGTCCCACCAGCAATGTATGAGTGTGCCTTTTCTCCCACATGCTCGCCAACATTTATTGTTGCTTGTATTCTTGATAATTGCCATTGTGACTGCAGCGAAATGAAATCTTATGTTATTACTGAAGCAACAGCATTTGAGATAGACTGACATTTTTTTTTTACCTAATCATTTTTATTACTTCTGGTTTCTTTCTGTTAATGGAACTGCATATTTTTAAAGATAAAACATTTTAACAAGATGAATGTGTTTTTGAGAAGCATTGGAGAGTCTAATTATCTTTTTCTTGGTATCTTTTTCTGTTGAGAAAAACACATTGTTTGTAGTTCACTCATTTGTAGGTTAGGGAATTCCCAGATACAGGATACAATACATGACTACAGCGAATATCAACTCATTGGCTTTATGAATATGAAGGTGCATTTTCTGTTTCTCCCCACCCCCTCCCCTCCCAATCCCCAAAAGATTTCAGGTTACACACTTACAGTTCAAGCTTCTGATAATGGCAGTCCACCCAGGGTCAACACAACGACTGTGAACATTGACGTGTCTGATGTCAATGACAATGCCCCTGTCTTCTCCAAGGGAAACTACAGTGTGATCATCCAGGTAAGCTTGGAGTACCCGAGGATATTTGGAATCCTTTTTGAAATGAGCTCTTTCACTGCAGTCAGATGCGTATTTGAAATATCTTTCTTTTCCAAAGTCTTTCATCTCCCCTCTTTTTGTGCTTGGGTGTTGAGCTGTTCTCACTGACCGAAGACTAAGAGCGTTGCTAATCCTGTCTTCTTCTGCTGTTGCTTTTCCTCCTCCCCTTCCTCCCCATCTTGGCCTAGCTTTGTCTTCCCTCCCACGACTCCACCCTGCATCCTCCTTGCTCCCACCCCTCCTTCACACCACCATTACCTTCCACACATCCTTTTTCTCACAGGCATTCCTCCCCCTTCCCGTTCTCTCTCCCCACCTCGACCCCAACTGCAGTCCCCTGTACCCCACTTCAGTTTTCCCTCTGTCAGGTCGATCATCAATAAGACTTTTCCCCTCTGATATATTTTCTATTATTAAGAAACTCTCAAGTATCCCTTATCAAATAGATTTGGTTGTGTTGAAGTAGTTTTGTTTTGTGTTGTTCTGTTTTTAATTTGGTGCAGGAAAATAAGCCAGTGGGTTTCAGTGTCCTACAGCTAGTAGTGACAGACAAGGACTCCTCTCACAATGGTCCACCCTTCTACTTTACTATTGTGAGTGGAAATGCAGACAAAGCATTTGAAGTGAACCAGCAAGGAGTCCTCCTGACGGCAGCCGCCATCAAGAGGAAAGTGAAGGACCATTACTTCCTGCATGTGAAGGTATTGAAGTCTGTCTGGTTTTATGGGAGAGCCTTAGAGAAGACCTGCTTGGCAGTTATCTTCCTATATTAAACAGCTTACATTTCATAAAAACAAATTTATACGTTTGTGGCATATTTTGTGCCACACCTTCATTTTTGAGGTGACTCCCTTATTCAGTTGGTAACCTGATCATCTATAGTGCTGGAACTGGGTTTCTATATGAATTAGTGGAAGACTATTTGTCCTTTATCTCAACAGGCCTTTTTCTCATCCAGAGGAATTGGTATAAAACAGTTGGTGATTTATTATTTATTTATTTATTTATTTATTCTATTTTATTTTTTTTAGAATTTGAACAATGTAAATACATTTTTATTAAGCAATTATAAACAAGATAATCAAAGTGATTTTTCTTTTCTTTTTCTTTTTGTAGGTGGCAGATAATGGAAAACCTCAGTTGTCATCTTTGACATATATTGACATTAGAGTTATCGAGGAGAGCATCCATCCTCCTGCAATTCTGCCACTAGAGATTTTCATTACTGCATTTGGAGAGGAATACTCTGGTGGTGTCATTGGGAAAATCCATGCAACAGACCAAGATGTGTATGACACTTTAACCTACAGTCTTGACCCCCAAATGGACAACCTGTTCTCTGTTTCCAGCACCGGGGGTAAGCTCATCGCACACAAAAAGCTAGATATAGGGCAGTATCTTCTTAATGTCAGCGTAACCGATGGAAAATTTACCACAATGGCTGACATCACAGTGTATATCCGACAAATAACACAAGAGATGTTGAACCACACCATTGCTATTCGCTTTGCCAATCTCACTCCAGAAGAATTTGTTGGTGACTACTGGCGCAACTTCCAGCGAGCTTTACGAAACATCCTGGGTTTGAGGAGGAACGACATACAGATTGTTAGTTTGCAGCCCTCTGAACCTCATCCACATCTGGATGTCCTACTTTTTGTAGAGAAATCAGGTAGTGCCCAGGTTTCAACAAAACAACTCTTGCACAAGATTAATTCTTCTGTGACTGATATTGAGGAAATCATTGGTGTTAGGATATTAGATGTATTCCAGAAGCTCTGTGCAGGACTGGATTGCCCTTGGAAATTCTGTGATGAAAAGATATCCATGGATGAAAATGTTATGTCGACGCATAGCACGGCCAGACTGAGCTTTGTGACACCTCGCCACCATAGGACAGCAGTGTGTCTCTGCCAAGGTAAGTAAATGAGAACAGGTATTTCATGTACAGCCTTTGATGATTGCACCATACAGATCATTTTGTTGAAATTCTTGTTTTTTATCTCTCTCCTCTCTTTTATTTAATTAAAGAGGGGAATTGCCCACCTGTCCACCATGGATGCGAAGACAACCCCTGCCCTGCAGGATCCGAATGTATTGCTGATCCAAGAGAGGAGAAGTACACCTGTGTCTGTCCTGGTGGCAGGTTTGGTCAGTGTCCAGGTAAGTTCAATGACTGAGCAAAATTTTATTTCAAAAAATCAGTTCCAATCTTTCTATTCTTTGAGAAAAATAAATGATGCAAAGTATGTTTATTTAAGTCAAATGTAGGGATGAATAAGGAAAAACAGTAATGACTTTTTCTTCCTCTTTTATAACAACACATTCTAGTTTAGTTTGATGTTCCCCCTTCCGTATCATCAGTGCTTGAGTAGATTTTAGAGGTTTGTTTTTCCTTTTTCTCTTTTATCCTCTCTTAAAAACAAAACAAAACAAAAAAAGCCTGAAGAAAATTATATCTTACACAATCCTAACTTCTTGCTTTTTTTTCTCCACTTAATAGTGTATTATGGGCGTATTTCTGAGCCAGTATTCTTTTTAATATCTGTGAAATATTTTCTATCATGACTCTTTTTGTGATTTAATCAACATTTTCCTTATGTAGAAAGATTCCAATTACTCTGTGTAAAAAAAAAAATAATAATAATCCTTATACATATATCCTTTTATTTTCTTTTCTATTACAGTAGATCAGGAACTGCTGGGTCAAAGAATTAAGTGCATTTAAAATTTTAAAGATAACATTATGTTAATTTTCCAAAAAGATGAACCAATTCTAATTTTTTCTAGTCATGTATGAAGGTCTCATAACCCAGTCTCATGCCAGCATTGACAGTTTCCAGTTTAAAAAAAAAACAAAAAAACTCCCTTAGGGCTGGGATTGTGGTGTGGCTCAGTGGTGGAGCACTCGCCTAGCATGTGCGGGACCCGGGTTTTATCCTTAGCACCACATAAAAATAAAGACATTGTGTTGTGTCCATCTACACCTAGAAAATAAATGTTAAAAAAAAAGAAAAACACCCCATCTAATGAATGCAAAATGATATCTCGTGATTTTAATTTTCACTTCTCTGGCTGTTTATACCTTTTTATTAGCTTACCTGTTTGTATTTGTTTGATTACCTGGGCTACTTGTTGATTATCAACGTGTAGAACACTTTGTGCATTATGAGTTGTGACAGTCTATATGTTATTGACCTCTAAAATTTGTTAAATCTTTTTTTTTTTTTTTTTTTTTGGTGTATTGCAAAATGTTTTATTTCCCCTTCCCCTACCAGAAGTACAAAGGGATTTTTCTCCAGTTAATTAGAGACTAGAGGGAGTTGATCAGGAATTTTTGTTAAATCTTTTGTCATTTTGAAATTTAATTTTTATCTAGTCAATTCTACTTGATTTTACTTAGCAATTTTCACTTCTGGAGAGAGCGATCAGTTTTCATCTTCTCTGAGGAATGGGAATTGGTTTATCAAACTATCTTGAGGCTATGTAACTATTTTCTGAAATTGTCTTCTAATAATTTCCATTGAATATGGTTACGTTTAGCTCTTTTGTTATTTTAGAATTTATTTCTCTGTGATAAAGTGGTCTAATATATTCTTGCAAATGGATAGCCAGTCAGGCTATACTGTTTATTAAGTAACTAGATGCTTTTCCATGGAATTTAATTTTATAATGTTACATATGACCTTAAATTTAAAAATCGGAATATAGGAGGACAAATCCTACTCTAAAAACTATACTTAAACTGGCTTCTTTTGTGATTCACAGGAAGTTCATCTATAACATTTACTGGAAACAGCTTTGTGAAATACCGTCTAATGGAAAATGAAAACAAATTAGAGATGAAACTGACAATGAGGCTCAGGACCTATTCTGCTCATGCAGTTGTAATGTATGCTCGAGGAACTGACTATAGTATCTTGGAGGTATGTGATTGTCTGGTTTTAGTCTTATACCTCCAATTATGGCAGCCTTTAAGAAATATAAATTCCATTTTATGTTTTGATTGTTCACTTTTTAAAAACATTAAGCAAGATGGGCAAATTCCACATTTAAAGAATTCATTGACACTTATACAAATTTTATACTTCATGGGATGAAAAGTTCTTTTTTGCTTTGCAATAATATGGAGATTTATTTCTGTTTTTTACAAACGTTTTTAGGCATATGTGAGAGTTAATATTCAAACTCTGAATATTGTATCTTATTAGTTATATAGCAAGTTTACAGAGAGGGCATACATATGTTTGAAGTGATAATTACCATGACTTTTTTTTTAACTGGGTTTTAACATTTGATGCTACATGGTCCTTTCTGTGGTATGTGTGGGTGGTTAAAAACTAGTCACTTCATATTTTTTGGATATGTACTTGGCACTAGAACTTGATATCCCTAAAAGATACCTTGGACAAATGAGTGTGTGCTTTATATAAAGTATTTAAATGGAAGCCCTTATCTTTTTTTTTTTACCTTCATTCTCTAAATATACCTCTCCTATAGATTTTTGGTCAGAGATTATAATTGAAAGTTCTGTGAAAGTGATTGTTTTTATTGTAGATTCATAATGGAAGACTGCAATATAAATTTGACTGTGGAAGTGGCCCTGGAATTGTCTCTGTTCAAAGCATTCAAGTCAATGATGGCCAGTGGCATGCAGTATCTCTTGAAGTAAATGGAAACTATGCTAGATTGGTTCTAGACCAAGTTCACACTGCATCAGGCACAGCCCCAGGGACTCTGAAAACTCTGAATCTAGATAACTATGTGTTTTTTGGTGGCCACATACGGCAGCAAGGAACAAGGAATGGAAGAAGCCCACAAGTTGGTAATGGTTTCAGGGGCTGTATGGACTCCATTTATTTGAATGGGCAAGAGTTACCTTTAAATAGCAAACCAAGAAGTTATGCACACATCGAAGAGTCAGTGGATGTATCTCCTGGGTGCTTATTAACAGCTACGGAAGACTGCTCAAGTAACCCTTGTCAGAATGGAGGCATATGTAATCCATCGCCTACTGGAGGTAGGCTTCATAACATTACAGTGATTAAAATGTTGCATGTGTACATTTAAGGGGAAGAGTCCCAAATGCTTTTGGTTTTCCTCCTCCTTTTGTTCAAATAATATTGTCAGATACTGCAGCAGAAATGAGTAGTACGCATTGTAAGAGAGCAGAGTAGGAGCCGGGCGCAGTGGCACACACCTTGTAATCCCAGCAGCTCAGGAAGCTGAGGCAGGAGGATCGCGAGTTCAAAGCGAGTCTCAGCAACTTAGTGAGGCCCTAAGCAACTCACTGAGACCCTGTCTCTAAATAAAATACAAAAAAGGGCTGGGGATGTGGCTCAGTGGTTATGCAACACTGGGTTCAATCCCCAGTACCAAAAAAAAAGAGAAAGAGAGAGAGAAAGAGGGCAGAGCAGGGCTTAGTATTCTTCCCAGAACTAGGCTGAAGAGATCCGTTTCTCTGGCTGCTGAACTTCTACAGGCATGTCTGAGGTGTTTGAGTAGAACACACTTCTGTACACAGTTCATTATGCCCCCGAACCATAGCCACCTCTGAACTCTTCTAACTCCTCAGACATTGACCCTGGGAAATTTAGAACTGGTATCGCTTAGTTCTTCTTGGTTCTTTGTACCCCCTTTCATCCAATGACTCAACATGGAGGTCTGCTAGACTCTTGCTATCCATTAGAGAGTGTGATTTTTCAAAAGGCCTCTAATCCTCCTGAATTGCTGCATTGTCTGTCTCGAAGCCAGTGGGGACTCTAGAGCTTCTGTATTCTGGGTTTCCATTGGATCATTTATAATCAAAAATAGTTAGGAAGAAAATGGCAGCTATCATGCCTAATAAGTAGAGCTTTGTGTAACTGATAGAACAAAATGTTTCAAAATAATACTTTAAGTGAGATTTCAAAAAATTCTGGTTGTCTGCTGTTTTCTTTGGAGAGAATGTATGTGTACTAAAGCTAATAGAGTAAGTACACCAGCTTAATCCCATAGTGGCACTCTGAAAATCCTAGTCATGTCACACAACAAAAGCTTATATTATGTTCATATAAATTACGTGATTGAATCATGGCAGCAAGGAGGCTGACCTCACTGTGTCACTTTGGAATGAGACTGAAAATCTGAAATGCTTCAAGATCCAAAACTTTTTTAGTGCCAACGTGACACTGAAGATTTTCACATTTTGGAGCATTGTGGATTTTGAAATTTCAGGTTAGGGATGTTCAACTAGTATCATTGTAATTTTCTGAAATTAAAATGCTCTAAAATCTGAAATACATATGGTCCCAGCATTTTGAATAAGGGATATTCATCCTATACCAGTAGTGGAAGGCTTGTCCATCAGGCTTCTACCCAGAAGGAATGGGAATTTTACCAGCTTTATGGATCTTGGAGAATTAAACCTTCACTTAGATGTAAAGGTAAAAATCAATATAACAAGACTTATTTTTGAATCATGGAATGATAGGACTGTTTTGTTCCTTTTTTACTGATGTAGGCTATTACTGCAAGTGCAGTGCCTTATACATAGGGACATACTGTGAAGTGAGTGTCAACCCATGTTCCTCCAATCCCTGCCTCTATGGTGGCACATGCATCGTAGACAATGGAGACTTTGTTTGCCAATGCAGAGGACTATACACTGGTCAGAGGTATGTGTATTTTTCAGAATGAATTATATTATAAATTAATTATAAATTTCAGAATGAATTATAGTTTTAAATCTTTTAAAACATGTAATTCTGCATGTAAAATGTCTCTACATTCTTCATGTGTTAGTATTTTGTTTTGTTATAGACTCATGAAATTTATGCGTGTTTTTCCCTTATTCTTCAGATGCCAGCTTAGTCCTTACTGCAAAGATGAACCCTGTAAAAATGGTGGGACGTGTTTTGACAGTTTGGATGGTGCTGTTTGTCAGTGTGATTCAGGTTTTAGGGGAGAAAGGTAAATGGTTTCTTTAACATTTATATTTCTATTTTTCTGTGGTAATATATTCATTAGCAGACACAACCAGCCTTCATTAATGTAGACTATATTGCTTCAGAGTTGGATAATCCTCATTGGCAATTTTATAATTTATCTTCTTGCTCTTGAGATAAGGGAAAATACCAAGCAGATTAATATATATTATGCTTGAAAAAACCTACTTCTATACTTCAGAAGTATTATTTATAAACAAAGAATGTATGTGGTTTTATAGGCAGCAAATGCTTGGAGTGAGGTGAGTTTCTTGTTTTCTAAAGTAGATGCTTGTGAAGCTGAACCATCCATCTTTGAGAGCAGTGATAATGACATTTTATCATCATATGTTATAACTAACATTTATAGAGATCTAGAAACCCTTTTCAACTTCCATTTTGTAATAATTACTGTAATTCTAAGAGGTGATTATTATTTTCTAAGTGACAAAAATAAGGCATGTTTTATACCTTAAAAAAGTGGATGATGTTATCTTATGTTAGACTTTTCACCATTTCAGTTTTAACAAAATTACTCAGTGCATAGCATATTATCTATAAGTGCTTAGTATAGCTTGCTTATGTATGTAGGTATGTATGTATGTATGTATGTATGTGTTTGGTACTAGGGATTGAACTCAGGGGCACTTAACCTGAGCCACATCCCCAGCGCATTTTTGTATTTTATTTGGAGACCGGGTCTTGCTGAGTTGCTTAGGGCCTCACTAAATTGCTGGGGCTGACTTTGAACTCATGATCTTCCTGCCTAAATCTCCTGAGCTACTGAGATTACAGGCATGCACCACCACGCTGGGCTAGTGTAGCAAATTTAAATAAGCCTTTGCAGGTGTTCCTGTATAGTTTAGCTCTCATAGTATCATGTCTTGTGTTTAGGCCCTAGTCATATGGCCTTAACTCATAAAGTGACTTTTTTCCTAATTCTAGTCAATGGATACTCTTAGCATATTTGACAAAATATATCATTAATTAGAATTTTTATACCAGAGTATGAGGGATGGTAAATGGATAAACTTTATTGAAGGAGGAGGGAAGGTTTGATAAGCGGCAGGTAGATCTGCATAGGTATATGAAATGTCCCTTTCGGAAAGACTGAAGGGACTTGCTTCTGACTTATCCTGAATAACATTTTTTAATGGAAACCATAAGAGTTTTCTATGCTTTTATGTGAGTTATGGAACGGTCATATTCCCAAACACAAACATTTTCTTAGAAATTTAGTCTATTACAAGGCTTTGCAACACACTGGTAGTTTTTCAAAATGCACATTCCAAATTTCTGAATGATAGTTTGTCTGCGAAAACTAGAAACAAACTGATGTTTTGCTTATGGGATTGATGTAGTTGAATCCTAGAAAAACAGTTAAATATTGGCTTGATAAGTTCATCTCCCCCAATAAATATACATTCAAAGCATAAAATCAGCTGATTAATTAAAAGCTCTTTTGTTGTTATTTTTTTTTTGTTTTCTAGATGGTTTAATCTGATTTATTCAGGGGTATCTTATTAAGAGGGGATCTTAGCATTAGTCTCTGAAGAATTATAGGTCTGGCATAGTCTGACATACCAAAACAGTCTCTCCACTTTCTTGGCAGGTGTCAGAGTGACATTGATGAATGTGCTGGAAACCCCTGCCGTAATGGGGCCCTTTGTGAGAACACACATGGCTCCTATCACTGTAACTGCAGCCAGGAATACAGAGGAAAACACTGTGAGGATGCTGCTCCCAATCAATATGTGTCAACTCCATGGAATATTGGACTGGCTGAGGGAATAGGGATTGTGGTTTTTATAGCAGGGATATTTTTACTTGTGGTGGTGTTTGTACTCTGCCGCAAAATGATTAGTCGAAAGAAGAAACACCAGGCTGAACCAGAAGACAAACACTTGGGACCAACCACAGCTTTCTTGCAAAGACCATATTTTGATTCAAAGCTAAATAAGAACATTTACTCCGACATACCACCCCAGGTGCCTGTCCGACCTATCTCCTACACTCCAAGCATTCCAAGTGACTCTAGAAATAATCTTGACCGAAATTCTTTTGAAGGATCTGCTATACCAGAGCATCCCGAATTCAGTACTTTTAATCCTGAGTCTATGCATGGACACCGAAAAGCAGTGGCCGTCTGCAGCGTAGCACCAAACTTGCCTCCCCCACCTCCCTCAAACTCTCCTTCTGACAGCGACTCAATACAGAAGCCTAACTGGGACTTTGACTATGACGGTGAGAAAAACTATTTTCATCTCACTAAAATGTTACTGAGATAAAACAGTGATTAGAAGTTCTGCCATAGCCACTGGTGATTCAAGTCAAAATGTGGAGTCTCTGTTAGAGATATATATGATCCGAATCTGAAATCCTTATGATTTGGGAAACGTTTTCAGATGTCTTGAATTCTAACTGCACATTGTGGCTGTGATGTTATTTTAATGAATGTTCCAGTTAATATTCTAGTGTCATGTTCCAATTAATTTTCTGAAAAGATCATTTCATTTTTGTAACTGATAAAAGCTCTCAACTGGATCTTTTTTGGACTTATTATAATAAAAAATAATTGGAGGGGAGCATTTCTATGTTAGAATTATTTTTTAATATGGCCAGAAGAAGTAGCAGTATTTAAATTACCAACTTAACATTTATTTTAATGCCTTAAAAAAAAAAAAAAAAAAGCTCCATGTGCTCTCTACTCCTCCTCCCCCTGTACTAGGGATCAAGGGGAGGAGGGTGCTCTACCACAGGGTCTTGCTAAAGTTGCCTAGGTGGTCCTTGGACTTGTGAGCCTCCCCAGCCTCCCCAATAGCTGGGATTATTGGCACTCAGTGCCACAACCAGCTTCTATGTACCATTTAAAAAAAAAAAAAAAAAATCACAGTTTTTTTTTTTTTTTTCTTTCTAACAGTATCCATAGGCCTATTTATGGAGAAATTCTATCCTTTGAATATCACAGAATACTTACAGACTAGACTCCTTTGGGTTTTTTTGTTTGTTTTTCTGTTGTTGTTGTTGTTTTTCTCTTTTTTAAATTTCAGTGGTTCATTTATAAATAAAGTTTAAGCAGTCACTTGGTAAAGCACACAGAGAACTGAAGATTCCTGGCCTACATAGAACTTATTGCTTGTCTCTCATCTCTTTTAGCTAAAGTGGTGGATCTTGATCCCTGTCTTTCCAAGAAACCTCTAGAAGAAAAGCCTTCTCAGCCATACAGTGCCCGGGAGAGCCTGTCCGAAGTGCAGTCTCTTAGCTCTTTCCAGTCTGAATCCTGTGACGACAATGGTGAGTGTGAGAAAGGTGACGGGTGGTGGCCTCTCGCTGGTTGTACACGGTGCTGCTCACATCATGTCACATAACAGTGTGGATGCACCAGGCCCCCAGTTAAGTCTTAAAATATTGCCATAGTTCTCTTGAACCACTTTTAAACAATACCTGTACACACTTGCATGAACATCTGCTGGGGAAAATATTAAAGTGTTCCTAATGAATAGGTATTTTGTCTGTAGCAACATGTCAGCAGTAATAGGAAAGAAAATGTAATTAACTAAAACATCATTTCTGTCTTATTGACTAATCTTATTTTTTTGTTTTTGTTTTAACATAACAATAAATGTTATGGAAGTTTTATGAGTTTTTCAAAAGTCCTTTAGGCTTTTTTGACCATACAACATGCACACGTACACCTGCATCCTTTAAAGAAGAGATATAATAGTCTGAAATGTTCAATTTCAGTCGCACCTTTGGTATTACAAGGTTTTATTTGTCTCTTCCCCCAACTCCACTGCGGCCCCAGCTCCCATTTGGATCAGAGCGTACTGACTGAGAGCACAGTTTAAGAGATTGCTAGTAAGTTTGATTATATTTCTAATGAAGAAAGTTTGACAGTGGGATCTGTGACTTCAGTTATGTTTATCTGATTTCCTTAGGGTAAATTGCTTTGGTAACCAGCTTTGCCTTATTTACACATACCAGTAGAGAAAATGAATGTCAATATTCAGTGACAAAATGAAGTGAATTTTTAGTGGAAATTTTTGAATCTCAAATTAGTGGTTTTAACCATAATTTTTTTCTTGCATGAAAAAATCTAAAGTCTTATTTTATTGGAGGAAAGAAGCAATAAAATTATTATCTGATCCAAAGTAAAAAAAGTCCATAATCTAGAGTAACATAATTCATAATACATTGCATTTGTAGAGTTCATAAATCCACATTGTCCATAATACATTACAGAGCTCTTTTCCAAACTCAAATCATTTCTGATTTCAAACATGTTTTATGTATCTCAGAGTGTACCTGTGTTGTGTGTGATGAATATATGGGTATATCTTCACTTGTTAATCAACAAAAACAAGTCTCTTGTTCATTTCAATTCTGAAAAGTTTGTAGTGCCAGTAATTTACATTTTCACCCTTAAATGTTCTTCATGAATACATTTCTGAATTTTGTCACTAGTATTCTTTCTTTTTTAGTTGTCTTTTTGAAATCACTTTCTTCTTACTAATACTCCTAAATTCTTTGAACACGTTATAGCCAAATTATTTACAAAAATTAATTACCAGATAATACAGTGTGAGGAAAAGACATGTACAGGAATGGTTAATATTTTAATAATTTAATCATTCTCGATCATAAAGTTTAAGTCTGTGCTGAGTCTGTACTTAGATTTCATTAATAGTTTTTCAAGCCTATTGTTAACAGTTTACCACAAAACCTATTGGCTCAAAACTGCACGAATAATTATCTCATAGTTCTGTGGTATAGAAATCCACTACGCATTGCACTTGGCTAAAATCATGGTGTCAGTAGTGCTGCATTCCTCTGAAAGCTCTAGGAGAAGAATCTGTTTGCTTCTTTTTCTAGCTTCTGGAGGAGGCCCACATCTTTTGACTCACGGCTTCTCATCTTTCAAAGGCAGAATGGCATGTCACTGACGATTAATCTGTAGTCATAGCTCCCTCCAGCCACAGCTGGTAAAGATTCTTCCCTTTCCCTTTCAAATACCCTCATTAATTCAGTCGGCTCCCCCAGATAACTCAGGAAAGTCTCTCCATCCATAAGGTTCTTAACCATGTTGGTAACGTTCCTTTTGCCATATATGTTAACATTTTCACAGGTTCCCAGTTTCAGGATGTGGACATTTTGGGGGGCCATCCTTCTGCCCATCACATGCATAGATATTTTAAAACAATCTATTACACAGGTGAAAGGGCATTCACCCAGGAAAAAGCCAAATATTTCTGTACTTCTCTGCTGGTATGTTAGCTCACCAGCTGTTAGTCCCTCTATAGTAAGATAAGAAATTGCAGGGACATGGGGGGAGGGGGGAGAGAACAAAGAAGCACAAAACCAATTTTGTATTTTTATTGCATATGTATTTCCTTAAATTTCTTTACTTTTTAAATATGAAGTCATTTATCCGTGAGATGTTAAAATAATAATTGTTTTGCCCAACATGATCACTAATTACAGTGGTGAAAAATTTGTAGCTAAAAACAGATGTCCTAAATTCCACTGAAACAGTTACTTTATTCCATTCATTAACAATAATAAATATGTAGCTTGATGAGGAAAATCCCTGAGACATAGCCATAACAGAAAGAGTGCAGGTGTCGTGCATAATTATATAGTTGTAGTAGAGATTTCTGTTTTTCACATTTTTAAATTGTAAGGCAGAAATTGCATAATGTTAAGAAATTTTATTTTGTTCTCGGTTTTCTAACTAACTGAAGATTTTCCTAATTGACTCCTTTTGTACCTTTTCACAAGCTTCCATAGTGACTGTAATACACCTTGTCAATGCTGTCGTTGACACGGTGACTAAAGAAGGTATCGTCATAAATGCTTGTGCGTTGTGTTTCTGTTGTACACTGACTGTAAAAATGGAGGCTGTGCTTTGCCTGTTGTGTTGTTATGAAAAATCATTTGTGGTTTTGGGAGGTTTCATTTCAGTATTTTTAATTTGTGAGGGCGTGTGTATTCATAATTCAGGGGCATTGCAGAAACATTTCATTGGGCATTATATCTCTTTTGTTAGTTTTTACCATTCATAGTGATTCATCCTGACATCAGAAGTAACCCATAGGATCTTGAGAACTTATCTTTATGTGATACAATGCCAAGAAGTTGAGAAGTAATTTTATCTAAAAGTTTTAAGAGGAAAAAAAAATCTTTCTGTGAACAGAATAGGACTAAATACCAGAAAGCCTTTCTAATTACCTAAAACTGACACCTGGCTTTTGGTATTTCTCTGAGTGTGATCAAAGAAAATGTTCTAACATGATAGAAGGTGTATTTTTTTTATAATTGATTTAGTGAAAACCATTTAATTTGAAGCTGTATCTGTTTAGAATTACAAGAAAGGACATAGAACACATCCCTCAACTTATTTTAAATTAGCCCTTTATTAGTGTGTGGCAGTTAGAGTAACACATGAAAAAGGCACAGGCTAGTAGTTTTCAAACAGTAATGCAGATTATATCCCCTGGATGGAGGTCTTGCTCAAAGCCTGATGGCTGGTTCCCAGTACAAGTTTCTGATCAAATAGGTCTGGGTTGGGCCTTGAGAATTTACATTTTAACAAGTTCCCATTTAACTCTAAAGTCCCTGATTTAGGAATTATAGCCCCAAGAGTTCACTTACATAGGCCATCAAGAGCATCCAGCCAGGCTGTGGTGCACACCTGTAATCCTGGCTACTCAGGAGGCTGAGGCAGTAGGATGGGAAATCTAAGCCCAGCATTGGCAATTTAATGAAATCCTGTCTTAAAATA